ACCACGGTCAAACAAGTACGAGGATTCCTAGGATTCGGAAACTTCTACAGAAGATTCATTGACCACTACTCTGATATTGTATGACCGCTAGTGGATCTTACCAAGAAAGATGCGCTGTTCATTTGGACCCCAGAATGTCAGAAAGCCTTCGACAAACTCAAACGGCGATTCACCACGGCCCCTGTTCTACTAATGCCAGATCAAACCAAGTTGTTTATTCTGGAATGCGACGCATTGCTAGTCGCAACTGCTGCAGTACTTCACCAACAGGATGTTGATGGCGACTGGCACCCAATTGCCTATCACTCTCAATTCCTCCTACCGGCCAAGCAAAACTACAAGATCTACAATCATGAACTTCTTGCCATCAGGGCATTGGAAGCATGGCAACATTACCTCCTCAGGACGCAATTTCCACTGCGGATATTGACAGATCACAAGAACTTGACATACTTTTGCACAGCCAGACGGCTCAACCGGAGACAAGCAAGATGGCAATTATTCCTCTCCCAGTTTGACTTCACACTTCATCATTGCCTAGGTTCACAGCTTGTACAATCAGACACTCTCACCCAAAATTCCGGACCCTTGCATTCAGCAGACGACAATGTTGATCAGATACTCTTGCCAGATACACTTTTTGCGGAAACAAACATTCGCTTGCTACACATTGCTCAATCTCTACTATCGCAACTGGATGACCCACAACAAGTCACTGCGGTAAACACCGATGATGTATTACTAGATCACATCAGGAGGATGGGACAAACGGATGACTACGCAAACTCCGTGCGCGCGGCAATGCAAAATAATGCAATCCCATTTCCAGCACAAACGACCATGGATGATTGGACGGAAAGCAACGGCATCCTGTACTACCAATCTCAATGCTACATACCATCCAACCTCGCACTTCGACAAGAAGTCACAATGCTCTACCATGATACTCCAATATCTAGACACTCCGGACGGTTCAAAACAGCGGAATTACTAACGCGTAACTTCTTCTGGCCAGGAATACAATTGTTCGTGTCCAGTTACATACAAGGATGCGCGGCATGCTAACAGATGAAGGTTAACACTCATCCAACCACTCCACCACTGCAACCAATATGGGCAACCCACTGGTCTAGGCCTTTTGCATTTGTCACATGCGACTTCATCACTGCACTACCACTCTCACGTGGCTTTACATCCTTAATGGTTGTGGTCGACCACAATTATACAAAGGAGGTAATTATAATCCCCTGTACAGAAAGGATGAATGCAACAATGATGGCAACGTTTTACCACAACCACGTTTTCCAGAGATTTGGAATGCTGGACAAGTTTCTGTCCGACCGAGGACCTCGATTCAACTCCCTTGTCTTGAAAGAACTTTGGAAGTTAACCAGTGTAGAAGGATGAATGAGCACAGCGTATCATCCACAAACCAACAGAGAAACTGAACGCATGAATAGGGAAATTCAGGCATATTTCCAGATATTCTGTTCCACCCATCCCCACGACTGGGCTGATTACATTTCCAACCTTGAATTCGCATTCAATAACCGGGAACATTCTGCGATAAAGCATTCTCTGTTCTTTCTCATGTTCGGCTCACATCCAAAGGCACTCCCAATGAACTTTGCACGATCAAAGGTTCTGTCAATTCAAGAATGGCTTTGGATAAGACAAAAGGCCCATGAAGAAGCAGGAGCAGCTTTAGACTATGCCACAGCTCAAATAGCAGGAAGACTCCACCAGAAATTCACCCCATTCACCGAAGGTCAGAAAGTATGGCTGGAGATGACTCACCACGAAGACGGTTACCTCTTCAAAAAAATGGCACCCAAGAGACATGGGCCATTCCAGGTACAGAAGGTTCTTTCAAAGCTAGTATACAAACTAGCCCTTCCAAGCACTATGAAGATCCATCCTGTGGTACACGCTTCGCTGCTCACGCCATACTACGAGACACCACAGCATGGGAAGAATTTTCTAAAACCACCACCAGAGATTGTTGACAAACACGATGAATACAAAGTAGAAGCAATTCTTGCACACCGGCCCTAGTACAGACATCGCCGGTATTTAGTCAAGTGGAAACATCAACCTACAGCTGAGAATTCATGGGAACTAGAAGGCAACCTGAAAAACGCAGCGGAGATCCTGAAGAGGTATAAAGAGGTCAAAGGAATCACCCCAACCACTCAGCAGCCAACTTCCAAGTCGACTACTACAACATGGCCCCTTACTCATTCTGCTACTGCAATGGCAGTCCCAAGGCTACTCTCGGAGAAACTACACCCCCCAAATCCTTGACTTCCACCTCTCCGCTTCAAGAAGAAACTTTGATTGACCGCGACAGCCCCAAATCCGAATTCACCACCAACAATGTTCAGCAAGGAATCACCACCGCTCTTGAAGAAATTGCCGGCAAATTCCGATGACACCAAGAAGAGAGCCCCGAACTCATCCCAGTCTCTCCGGGATTTCACTTCGGGATCCGTGTCTGCATCACCGCACGAAACACCAACCCTCTCGACGACGAGAGTGATCCCAATGACTCTTCTGCTCATCTTGCCTACCTCGGAGACATTGTCAACAATCCCCAACATCATAGAGGATGGATTAACAAGATCGACAACATCGCCCATGACCAAACAGCGCTCCGGGCCTTACTCAATGTGACCGATGACACGACTTCTGGCGCGCTATTTGCAGGAATTGTGGAGAAAGGATGAGAGGTCCAAGCAGGGTTTGATGAGGTGGCAAGAGATGGATGGGCTATCAGAGAGGCAGTCGAGGTGATTCAGCAGAATGCAACCGACCTTTCTCGACGAGTCGAGAAACTTAACCGCACCTTCGATGACTTTTGCGTGACGGCACTCACCTACATAGCAACTGACCAAAATGCCACAGAAGCCGTCAACCGCGTTTGGGTACAAGAATTTGGTAACATCAACGTCAACCACCTCAAGTCTGGAGAACTTCTCGTCGGACCATGCGCTAGTCAGCAGGTTCATAACCCTTGCAATCTCCCTCACCCTATGCATTGCACCCGTGCCTCTCGTAATTCTGGCTTGCATTCTTTGCACGAAGTCTCTCAATCCTTTCGAGAACAGACATCACGCTCACGCTCTTCTAACCGCACGCGCTTTATGTCCCAAAGTGCCGCGGGCAAATTCTTCACTCCTCTAGGGTCCTTCTCAACAGCTCCTCGACGAGCAACTCCATACCCGCAATGTCGCCGCTCTGGTAGCCTGATTACTACTGGAGTCATTGGTCACGCTTTCCCTGGGAACTCCGAGGCTAACCCCGTTATCCTCGATTGAAATACTCCTACAAGACTTATTCGCGGAGCTCATTGGCTAGAGAAGGAGCTAATGTTACAATCAGTCCATCGTCCCGATATATGTTTTTCTTTACTCTTTATTTCCGGACAGTAAGCGCCTACTCGAATGTTCTACCCTTTTCCGGACGAGTCATTTCCGGTCCATTTTCGGACCACTTCCATTTCCCGGACGTTCTCGTACATACGTTGTCCCTTCTCTGCTGATCCCGCAGTAGCTAGGTTAGTATAAATACCAGCCGGAAATGTCGTGTACTTTAGCTTCGGCCTCCTGTATTATCAGTCACTGTTCTATATCATTTCCGGACTTCGTACAAGTCCATGTTCTACATTCTACGACTCTTACATGGTCCCAGGCAACAAAGCACAATGTTGAACAATGGGCTGCTCTTGCATGCTCTGGATGTACCAGCATCTTGACAGAGAACCCAGAGATCGTTGAAGAGGTCAAGTCAAAACTTATAGCACTTCGCACTTTGAACATTGCAGTAATGGTGGTGATTGTTTGTGCACTCATGCTTGCTGTTATCAAACAGAAGAAGCCTGACCTGCTGAGCAAATTCACTTGTTCTGAAGTACGTGCCAAGCTACAACTCTAAAGCGACATCGAGATGCTCATGTTATCACTTATTGCCTTGTCCTAGCGGTACATTCGCAACTTCCTGGGAAGTGTTATGAGCTGGACACCTCGAAAGGGCACTCGGGCTGCGCAACACATTCCGGACAATGCAACGGACCTTTGCGGGGCAAAGATTAAGGACCTAGTAAGTCATGATCATGGACACATTAGTTATTGTGTTGCTGATCTTCTGCAGCTTGAGGAATGTGGTCGCCCGAGTAGAGAACTGGCCCAGCGGTTCTCGATTGAAGGTCTGAAGCCCGGAGACATGAACTCGCCCATCATTTCCATCAAGGTCAGCCTCTGTCGCTCTACACAGGTTTTCCAGGACCCCCCAGCAAACAAAGTTCTCATCATCCACTGGCGCATTTATGCAATTGTCTCCGCCGCGCTGAGAAACATGGATCCTCCCGGCGTTCAATCATCTTCAATATTTGCAAGGAGGACAGTACCCGTCGAGACTGCAAGCTAGTGTCAGCCAACCACGCCGCTTCTTCCTACGGATTGTATACATACTAACTTCCAATGCGTCCATCTAGTCTGAAGAAGTCTAACAAAATAACGTCTACCTATGCTCTTAGTGGAGAAGAGCTTGACTTGACTCCGCGGGCTTGGACGGTGCGATCGCTGATTGCCTGGGTAATTGGTGAAGGGCTCTATCGTTACAATCTAGACAAGAACCGAAGTGGATGCCTCTACTGGGCGTAGGAGTTCATCAAGAGACTCGCAGAGGCCGAGAATATACAACGCGACGCCTCTGCGCTTGTGCAGGAGAGCGTGGAGGCCATACGCCGGATGTCGGGTCAATACTGGTGTCCCGCAGACAAGGGCTTTTTCTTGCGCTAATTCCATCTGTGTCGATGTCCCATGTTGTCCTTGTGGCGTCACAAGCTATAAGCTACTAGTTTAAGCTCACTGAGTGTTCAAGAGTGCTCTTGTCTTGCTGTTGCCCTGCGCTCGCAGGTGATGCTGTCTCTGCTACCGATACTGATACGCCGCCAGTGCTAGCTTAGCTTTCCATCACCTGCCGATTTGAGATGGTTGCAGTCAGGTCCGCGTAAGTTGCAACTTGTGGCAGGGCACGTACGCCTGAAGCCGTGCTTGCATACAAACGAAGATTAATGTACATGTCCGATCGTGCTCTTGTTATCTAGCTGGTGTCCATTGCCTCGCCCGTATGCGTCACGGTCTCCTCGACGAGGAGACTGCGCACCGTCTCGGACTTGATAGCGGTAGTACCGCGGCGGAAGACGTAGTGACGCTCCTTCTCGACGCGCTCGTTAGGCTTCACGAAATTGCGGAGCATTTCAGTTCTCTCCGCGGTGATCACGCACGCGTCGACATTTGAACCCGAGCCGAGGTCATTGAAGATACCCGCCGAAATAGCAGCAGTGACGAGATCGAGCGCTTCTTGCCGCTCCATGTTGGGCTTCCATCCCGCTTCAAAGACAGCCATCGCGGCAAGGCTGCCCGAGCCCATCGTCACATAGGGCAGCTTGTCTGTCGAGCCGTGCGGGTGGATGGTGAACAGATGGGGACCGTTGATGTCCACGCCACCTAGGACGAGTGCAGCACCGATGTGCCCTTGGTACCTGGGCCAATTTGAGCATCGGGACAGCAGTGCAGAGCCTGTGCACATACCGGTAGAGCATCTGCTTAAGCATGGTCATAGCAGTCACTACCCGCGGCTTCCGGCCGGTCGATAGTGCGTGCATCTCCATATTCGAGGCGATGAGTGCAGTTGTGAACTCAGTATCCGCTGCTGTTCCTGCACCACAGCATCGAATGTTGTCTGAGATGTAATGAATCTACAGACGATGTGTCGGACATCACACGAAATCGCACTGGGAGGCTCGCACCTTCTCGCAGTTTTTGTCTGCGACAATGGGGCCCTCTGTCGCACGCGTATCCGCACCGAGCACTATTCCGTCCTTGAACAAACAGCCGACGATCGTTGTTCCTGTACTGGTAGCTTTGGGGAGTGGAACACCCCGCTGCTCAAGGAAGTTGTTTCTGACCTCTGCTTTAACCTCTGCGTAAATACTCTATTCAAGGTCGAACATACCGTACAGTGTTTGAAAAGTCAAAGCCAGCTCCACGGTATACCGACGCCGACGCCATAATGAGTATTGTAACAGTCGACGAGGAAGTAGATTGTGGTGGTGGTGAATGAGCGTACGCGTATGCAGCACACGCACGCGTCAGATGGGCGCTTTGTGGATTAGCGCCAAATAGTGTACACCGCCTGTCGCTTCGCCCTCATCATTCGCCTCGCTGCGCACCTCGTTGTTTCCTTGTTCCCCCACGAACGTTCAAGATAGAGTCCTCATATCTCAGTCAACCCGATCTCGACATGGCAGCGGGCTGGAAGTCTCTGCAATCCGGGCTAGCGAACCTCAATTTGGGGCAATCAGCGAACAAACTGACCCGCGGTTTGAGCTCGACCGTGCAGGCAACAAAGGAGCGACTGGGCCAGGTCGCTGCTGAAGACATTACCGAGCTTCCTCAGGGTTTGTACGCCCAATGATATACAGGAGGGGCAGTTCTCATGTCTCATGTCTGTCAATCTCGCACAGAATACAAGGATCTTGAGGCCCGCGTGGATACACTCCGTCAAGCGCACCTCGCCCTGCTCAAGTGTGTCTAACAGTTCTCACGACAGTCATCGTAAACTCATGAAGCACTGTACAGGATCACGAAGGTATACGAGTCCGAGACGTACGACTACCCTGCCGCAATCCAGGAGTCAATCTCAGAGTTGGGAACGACTATCGGCCAGGGGATAACCAACTTTGCCGCTGCCAACCTGAAGGGTACGAACCTGCCCGCTCCCGCCCCAGTGACGCCGCCGGCCCACCAGCACAAGACGCTCCCGCACGCGATCGGCCGCGCCGCCACCCAGGCAGCGGCGACTCTCCAGACGGCCCCTGGTGCCGAGGCAGATAAGTTCGGCAGGGCGCTCGCGGACTACGCCTCTGCATGGGAGAAGATTGCCGATGCGCGCGTCGCACAGGATACGGCGATCAAGACAGAGTTCCTCGCCCCCTGGCAGATTACACTGTCGACCTCCATCGCAGTCGCCGTGAAGGCGCGCCAAGCAGTCCGCGCAAGCAGGCTGGAACTTGATGCCGCAAAGCAGACGTAAGTGTCTTGCTGCGATGCTTGTGAAAAGTAGCTAAGGGCACGTGTAGTCTCAAGACTGCCAGTCCAACGAAGCAGGAGGCTGCGCGCATCGAAGTCGAGAACGCTGAAGACGATCTTGTGCAGAAGACAGAGGTCGCGATTACGCTTATGAAGGCCGTGCTGGATAATGTACGCCTTTTCAAGTCACTTTATAGCTTTAGCTCTAACTTGTTCGTCTAGCCGGAGCCCCTCAAGAATCTCAATGAGCTGACCAAGGCTCAGGCAAGTGACGCTTCACTTCGAGGCACATCATATACTTACCTCTTCATTCCACAGCTGATCTTCTATGCCTCGTCGGCAGAAGCGCTTTCAAGCGTACAGGGTGAGATTGAAGAGCTGAGCGTCGCAGCTGACGGCGAGTACCGGTGAGCCCTTGTGCGGTCCGCCTACGAACGACGACCCCTCACGACGCCCCGCACAGGAAGTCACGCGACCACTGAGCGTGCCCTCGCGTGAAGCCTATCCTGTTCACCGATAATGACATTTAAGAAGCTGTAATATGACTTGGGAACCCCCATGGACCGCGTGTATCTACGTATCCAGACTGTTCTCTCTATTGTCTCTGTTAAGCACTGGAACGAGTATTGTAAGCCCAGGATATGCATGCCTTCCCCTGTGCAGGTTGGACTCTGCTGTATACCGGTACTCTCTTGCGCATATGCATCGTGCACAAATACACAAACTTGTGAGACGCGCGACACGCTTTTGATGCGCCACACATACTACAACATCTTGCTCTCCGCCACACACACCCTTTGCTCATCGCACACAACTTCACCCTAAGCATGGAGCCAGAACAAGAGCGTGAAGACGTGCCGCGCGTCGCGGTCGATAGTCTGCACGACTGGGCGCGGATCCGCCGGAGCTATGCCGACGCTGCGCGAGCCCAGCTCGAAGCGCGTCTCGCGGACTCACGTCGAACACCCGCCGAACAAGAGCGATTGAAGGCGGCGCTTGACACGGTACGCCGTAGGTCAGCGAGGCTGAGGAAGGAGTTGCTCATGCGCGGGATAGTTCATAGAGCGCACGTTCGAGATGTGCAGGCCCAACTTGCGCGTAAACGGCAGGAACTTCGAGGAGCTTGACGCAGACGAACAAGGCGCGCTTTCTTTCCTGCCCCTCGGTATACTTACTCATGGCATATCTGCGGGTTTTCTATGCAGGCGGTATCGAGCCTTTTGACGAAGGCCTCGATCGGCACATCTGGTCGCTCTCGGACCAGCGACTCCAGTGGGACGGCGAGATCGCGCGCAAGCGACGCGAGAAGCCCGCCGAGGTGCAACGGCTCATGCAAGAACTTCTAGATACACAGCGTGCTGTAGATGACACGGAGGCAGAGGAGTATGCGGCGATCGTCGCCGACGAGGACGAGAGCTCATTGGAGCCAGACTGTAAGTGGATTTTCTCTTGTTGTGCTCAGTGGGAAAGCTAATAGACTATGTGCAGTGCCGGAGGAGATATATGCAGCGGTGGAAGACACAGCGAGGAGGACATTTGCTCTCGTAGACGAGCTGCAGCAGGTGCGTGACGCCGTTGAGCTTGATAGAACATTCATGTTCATTGTCCCGCAGAGCGTACGACTACAACACGAACGATCTGAGAGACTTAAAGTTGCCACCGCCGAAATTAAGAACCTTAAACCGTAGCACCTGTATTGTTCACACCGAGTATCAGCTCACATAGCGCTACTAGCCGTTGTATACTATCCAGTCATATAACAGTGCCTTTATTCATAGATCACGATACTAGTCAAGTCGTGCATGGGCTAGCTGGTAGTCTCTTTGGTCACCTTCCGCGACACAATCATACTGTTACTTTTGAGATGCTCCTCCGGCAGGTATGGATTTCATGGGACAACAATAGGACCGGTCTTCCAATACTGAGGTAGAGAAAAACTGAAATAGAGCAAGAGGATGATGTGCAAAAGTACAACAGAAAGACTATGAACCACGGAAACCACCTCGCCCACCTCGTCCACCGCCAAATCCGCCGCGACCGCGCGGCGCGCCCCTCGGTGCACCACGTCCCCCGCCGCCTCCTCGTCCACCACCAAAGCCGCCACGGCCACCACCAAAGCCGCCGCGTCCACCGCCACCAAAGCCACCGCGATCTCCTCCCCATGCTCCTCCACGACCACCGCGCCCTGATGGGCCGCCCCGACCACGCCCACCACCGAAGCCGCCCCGACCACCTCTTGGCTTTTCTGTATGAGTCCACAGTTAGTCGGAGCCTGCACAAAAGCTGAAAGAGCGCACTTGTGATACCCCCAGCAATCTTGGGCCTGGGCAAGAACCGTTCGATTGGGAGGAGCTTCTCGCCGGAGATATAGACTTTGTCTCCCTTCTTGAAGGAGCTCGCGACCATGCCTTCACCCATCTTGACAGAGAAGTAGACCTCGTTGATGGGCCCCAGAATCTCGTCAACCTTGCCAATCTGAGACTTATTTTGGAGATAGATTGGTGCGTTGAAATGTGGGACTTTGTCCGGCATGAGCGACTGACAGAGCATTTCGTCCTCGACTGCATGGAGGAACGAGCCCATCTCTACGAATGATATGCTGTGAGAAAGGGATACTGATGTAGATATAGTTTCTACGCACCTAGTACTGTATCGGGCGGGCCCATATCCCTCTGCTGGAACCCGCCCCGTCCACCTCCGCCGCCGCGACCTACATTTTTGAATACGACTTCCTTCACGGAGTAGCACGAAACTTACCACCACGACCACCAGAGAATCCTCGCCCGCCGCGGCTCATTGTAATATATAGAGCGAGTGAAATAGAGGGAAATGAGGGCGCGCCTGCGAGGTCGTCCTGGGTGTAACTATTTCGCTTTCATCCGCCGCACGAGCGGACAGAGGCGAGAAGGCGTCTAAAGGATAGATTTGCGTACGGAGATCGCCGCACATGATCTCGCATGGTAAACGCTCATTGTAGCAGGCCGAGTACTAGGGATAGCCCGCCTTCGGTAGGCTTGCTCACTAACGACGACGACATCGACGAAGAGAACAGCTACGATGGCGGAAGTACAGACTACGATTATTCCTCACAGCCAGCAGCCGCTTATCTCGCGCACATATCCTATCGAGGAGGAGCTCGATATCACCATCCAGCGCGCCGCAGAGGCTCAGGCGCAGTGGGCGAAGGCCCCCCTCCAGGAGAGAATTCAGGTAGGGAGGAAATTCATGGTACGCTTTAGATATATTTCATGGCACTGCGACAATGTACATAATATTCGCGTTCTTCACATCCACAGGAAGAGTTCAAGAAGATGAGCGACGAGATCCCCATGGAGCTCACTCTCCAGATGGGCCGGTGCGTCTCTCCCTATCCCTTACGCCTGTGAATGCGTTCACAGATTTAATTCCAGTCCCGTGTCGCAAACTCCAGGCGAGATCCGCGGCATGCTCGAACGCGCCGAGTACATGCTCTCTATCGCAGAGTCTTCTCTGTCCGACGTCTCCCTTTCCGATACAGACAAGCCTGGCTTCCGGAGGTACATCAAGCGTGTCCCCCTTGGAGTCGTTCTCGTTATCTCGCCATGGAAGTGCGTTCCCCTCTCTCTGCTGCTTTACCCTGAGCAATCTTAACTACTATCGTAGCTTTCCCTACCTCGTCTCCATAAACTCCGTCCTGCCAGCAATCATCGCAGGAAACGCTGTCTTACTAAAGCCCTCTCCTCAAACTCCGCTCACGGCAGAACGGTTCGCAACGGCCCTCACGCGCGCGGGCCTTCCACCTGCCTGCATCCAGGTGCTGCACCTCTCGCCCGCGCTCACGACGCACGCCGTGCAACACCCACAGGTCGACTTTGTCAGCTTCACGGGCAGTGTGCTCGGGGGGCAGGCAGTTGAGAAAGCTGCTGTTCAAGCGCGTGGATTCAAGGGCGTAGCACTCGAGGTGAGAGCCGTCTCTCAGGAATACATTGAAGTGCTAACAGGTCGCGTAGCTTGGAGGAAAGGATCCGGCGTATGTACGTTCTGATGCAGACTTGGACTACACCGTGGCAGAGCTTGCAGATGGGGCATTCTTTAACTCTGGTCAGAGCTGCTGCGCCATCGAGGTATGTCCCTCATCCGTTCAGTCCTTTACTGTCTCGTAACGAGCCTTCTTTTGTGGACGATGGCAGAGGATCTACGTGCACGAGGATGTCTATGAGCCATTCATCGCCAAGTTTGCTGAGCTCACAAAGGTATGTTAAGTGCCCAACTGATGCGTCTCCATACGGCCACGCTCCCCATATCAAGCATGTAATATCTGAAGAACGCTGCTGATGCCCTCGCTTCTTCTACCACAGAAGTACAAGCTTGGCGACCCGACTCAGCAAGATACGAATCTCGGTCCCGTTGTCAGCCTCGCGAGTGCAGCGCGCATACGGAAGCAGGTTGAGGATGCTGGTAAGTGGAATCTCTGTCAGCTCGCGTGCAGGAATTGTGCTAACAAAACGTCCACTTCGTATCCATTTACCGTTTGGCGTGCGGTGTCTCTCGTTGTCACTGCCATGTGCTGGCCGCTTTGTCTTTCACTCGCCGCACGATCATTGGTTCGATGGCGCACAGTCAAAGCAGGTGCTCAGGCCCTCATTCCCGAAGAGCTCTTCCCCACTGCCGAGACGTAAGTTTCGTTATTCCGAGTTGCCGTTTCCGCTGCCTGCTCGTGTCCCAGCACTTATGGGCACCGGCCGGACCTTCTGCGAAAACCGCCTGTCTACATTCTTCCCTAACTGGCTACATGGTCTAACGTTTCTGCAGCGGTACGACCTACGTTGCACCACAGATCCTCATCGACGTGGATCACTGTAAGCCTCTCTCCTTGCTCTCCTTGCTCTCCATGCGCGCCACCTGACTTCGAGCTCCGACGCAGCAATGGAAGTCATGACAGTACGTCCGATGCCCCCATAACAGAGCGCACATACTTACAAGCTTTCAGGAAGAGACCTTTGGTCCCATTGTCGGCATCCAAAAGGTGTGCACGCCTCGTTCGTTTGTCTTTCGCGGCGACTGACTTCGGTCGTGTGAAGGTCTCATCGGACGCGGCGGCACTCAAGCTTATGAATGATTCGCCCTATGGACTTACGGCCTCGGTATGGACGGACGCGTCCCGCTCGGAGTCGCTCCAAGTGTTTGAAGAGGTCTTTGCGGAGGGTATCGAAGCGGGAACGGTCTTCCTCAACCGGTAAGTTGTCTCATCAGCCGTCAAGCAAGAGTCTAACCCAGAGCTCTGTGCGTAGGTGCGACTACCTGGACCCTGCACTTGCTTGGACAGGCGTAAAGAACAGCGGACGCGGTATCAGCCTGAGCAAATTCGGTGCGTTGTCCCGTGGTATTCATGTCTGCCGCTTAGGCATACTGAATACTCGTCTCCAAGGCTACGACCAGCTCACACGTGCGAAGAGTGTGCATATGAAGCTTCGTACAGCGTGAGCTACTCAGGGTGCAAAATCGTGATCTCCGGAAGCAGTAGAATATCATGAAAGCATCGCATGGAATGTACAGTATACCAAATGGTTTGACGAACGCAGGATCACTTGCTCCAGTGTCTGGATGACATGCAGTATTGGGGTAGACATCAACTCAAGCGTGCAGATAAGTTGCGGTTGGTATACAAGTACTAGTGGGACTGTGCTTGCCGCGAGAGGCGACGTACGGCGCGCAGTGGAATGCGAGGCTGTATCATATCGATTGCGGAAGTTATCCTGCAGGTTAACATGACCTGAGAGCATGGGAAAGGCCACTACCGATGTCGTCTTGCGGGCCTTGTTTCGAGATGCCTTCTGTCCGTCGCTTGGCCGACATGCAGCCCAAGGTCGCATACCGGGGATGGTTAGGCGTCTACTTACTATCGGGGATAGCCGGGCCGCATTTTCCCCGCACTTGATGAGCCGCTACTCCATTTATTACTTTGCACACTGTTCTTTACCGCCTTTTCCTTCGCCGTCGCCCCTCCTCTCTTCTCCGCTCCGTCGCTAGCGATGAAGGTGCACAAACGACTCTACTCGGCGATCCCTCGACCTCTCGCGGCGTCCTCGTCTGCTCAGCCTTCGGCACCGGTCGTGCGAGTCCGCTCAAATTCAGCCTGCTCATCTCGCTCACTCTATACCGCATCTCAAGCACCCCTTCCTTTTGCGTTCTTTGACACCCCGTCACCACCACCACCTAGCTCGAGACCGGGTCCGAGCAACTACGCTGTCTCAACCCGACTAGTTGCAGAAGTCAAGGAAGGGCACACCAACTCCGGGCAGTCAAACGCTCCGCAAGGTCACTCACAACATTCGGGACCGCCTCCGTACCCTCTCGCATTTTCTTCAGGCTCGTCACAGTCGTCTCTCAACAACAATGCGTCGTATTATCCTCTTTTCTACCCGTATACCTCCTTTGGCTCCTCTCCGCTCAACGCATCTTTGGAAAGCGGGTCCGAGACGGCACACCCCTCAAAACGCCAGCGGACACGCTACCACCTCGACGTCGGCGCATATGGCATCCCCAAACACTCGCGAGATCCGCGGGCTGGCCGTGGTGGCCATATGAACAAACCGTTTACTTCGAGTGGCCCGTCACACGAAGGGAGCCATGCCGTACAGGTGGGCGAGGATGCGTACTTTATTCGGGAGAATGCGATGGGCATTGCAGATGGCGTCGGTGGATGGGCAAGGGCAAAGGGCAAAGGTATGCCGTTACTCTGTCTCCACCATCGCTATCATCCTCAGGGACGTCCAAAGCAGCTCGGGGCGAGGGTCCGAGTCCAAGTGCGCTATTTGCGCATCGACTTATGGACTATTGTTGCGAAGAGACTGCTTCAGGAAGACACTCACCAGACGCCTACGACGTAAGGTCCGTGTATACTTGTCTTTCGGGGCGCCGCATATATTTACCTTTTCGGCGTCCTAGTGCGGAGGAGTCCGAACACGGGCTGCTATCGCAGGAGCTCGACGATTCACTGGAAGAGCTCGCGGACGGACTTGACGTGCTCATGGTCCTTGAACGAGCGTACGACAAGACGTTGCATGCACATGTTATTCCACCCCCCGATGCTGGAGACGATGACCCTCCTAACGCGCGGTGGGATGCAAAATTCTCACGGCCAGGGACGAGCTCAGAGCAGGCGCCCTCGTCCATGCCGCATTCTGCGGCGCGCAGTGCATCACCAAGTCAACGCTGTCACCCCTTGAACTCTACCGCAGCGCCAGTCCCCCTCTTGGAGGGCTCTTCGACCGCACTTCTCGCGATTCTCGACCACTCGACCAATCAAGCGCCGAAGCCGCGAATACCAGTGCCGTTGCTTCCACACCAGCTTCGCCGCGCCGAGACCGTGCATACGCCGACGAGTGACCGTGGTGCTGTGTTACGAGTTGCGCATCTCGGCGACTGTATGGCTATGCTCATCCGGGACGATGCCATCGTGTGGCGGACGGAGGAGATGTGGTGGGATGTACGTATCCGTTGCTCCCACCGTCCGCACCCCTGCACGTCATACTAACGCCCGTGCCACACAGTTCAATACGCCTGTACAGCTCGGTCCAGCGTCATCAACGCGTCCACGCGACGCACAAGTGTTCGCAATCCCCGTTGAGACGGACGACATCCTCGTCCTCGCGTCTGACGGCTTGAGTGATAACCTCTGGGACGAGGACATCCTCGACGAGGTCGTCCGTTTCCGGCGTTCCTTCATGTCTGCACCACCACCTGCGTCAGCAAGTGGGGCCGCTATGAATAACGGACTGCTCCGCAGGAGCACGCTCGCGGGCATGCTCAGCGAGGCGCTTTGTTCGCGTGCACGGTGCGTCTCAGAGCGCAAGGGCCTCCGACGTGCACCTGCCGCTGCAACGCGACCCGTGCCCATCAACGCCGAGGATGAGATCCCATTCGCGCGGCGAGCGCGGGAGCAGGGCAGGTGGTTTGACGGCGGGAAGCCAGATGGTACGTGTCCAACTCCGTTCTCTCATTGTGTCTCCAATGCTGACTTCACGCGAAAGACATCTGCGTTCTCGTTGCGGTCGTTTCGCCTTCTAAGTTGTCGCCATAGACTCCCGCTCGTCCTCTACGCTACTGGACGACTGCATCGACTACCGCGACGCATACCCCAAGCCCGGACACTTCTGCCCCGTATAACTCTGGCCGTTGTACACCACCATCCAAATATTGTCTTTATACATATACGTATACATACCGCCATCCCCTCACATCTGCTCCTTACAAGATGATTCCTCGCATACACATGTCCTCTGCATTGTTTTCATTTACAGAGCTATCAACTGCAAAGTCCATGCACCTCATATCTCAGTTTATTGCATTTTGTATGCGTAGTACAAATTCATGATGTTGAAACACAAGCGCTGCTTCCACGGACGAACGTCAATGTCCGATTGTGCAAAAGTATGCGATGCGATATCATGCTGCAGGTAGTTACATCCGAGGTCCATCTGAGTCCGAGAGCAGGAACGTACAACCGAATAATACATGCAGTGGGAGATATGATACAGTAGCTAGAACCTATTATTAAGGTCACCGACGTATGACTAAAAATTTAAACAGCGTGAGCAGCCAAGGTGCGAACGATATGCGGCAGCGAAGCGAGTGTAGGGGGGCAGATAGGACAGACTGAAACGAGAGCAATTAAAGGCAGCAACGCAGAAGATAGAAGTACAGCGAACCAGAGAAGCGATGCAACGAGAACGAAGGCGAGAGAGCAGTGATACAGACCGAGGCAATGAGACGACGAGATGAATCCGTCAGGTCCAGGATCGGAAGAGTACAAAGCTATCGATGCAGTTTGAAGGCGAGAACACGTAAATGCGAGATCAGCAGGCAGATAGAAGCACGAGAAGCGAGTAGGGAACAGCAAAGACAGGTATGAGATAGCCAGCGGTGAGCGTGGATCGGCCGTCCTGAGAGCGATCAACAGTGTCAAGAGAAGGGACGTCTAGAGAAGGATGGGCGACATCTTGTGTTACAGTTCAGAGAAGATGCGACGATTATGCATGTTTGGGCGAGAAACCGTGATAGGACCGGAACGAATCGGGTCAAGCGAAAGCGCAGGTGGAGTGAGAATCGCCGTGTTTGAGCATCGAGGCTCAGGAGACGAGCTGGACTCCGGGATGCGAAAGTTGAGCCGGATGCGGGTGTAAGTGGGTCTAGTTGTCAGACCCCAAGGCTGCGCGCCACAGAGTTGAACTAGTCCTGGCTGGCGTGAAGAGCAGCCCTCCATACATTATCCTCGACATAGCAACTGCCTTCGCCAGGGATAGTGCTTCCACCGTGACAGGCCGCCGCATGCTTCCACCAGAAGATCTCGGGTACCTACACGCACAGCAAGAGAAAGACGGGGTAAGCATCCGCATATAATCTTCCTTGTTATTCCACACGGGGCCGAGTTTAGCTGCGCAAAGCCAGAACACACCTTAACTTCGACATCCTTCACACCCTCGATGTTAACCCATTTTGAACACGAGTGACACCGGCCCTGGAGGATACGCGTCTTTTCATGCCTTCCTGCGTTCGGTCGTGTCAGTTGCTTAAAGGCGATCGGTGGCGAGAAGGGTGTGCCCGCAGCGGAGATGCCTGTAGGCAAAACGTATGGCGTAGGGGAGAAAGTGGGAGCAACGCGAGAAGGAAACACCACCGTTACCAATATAGAGCGAGTTAGTAAGACGATTTGAAGACCGAACGAGCCCGAAGCAAAAAGAAAATGACAAGACACCATCAGATGAACGTCCAAAGAATAACAAGACAGACGTACCATGAGCATACTGCATGTGATAGCTGTCGGCTTTCGGTCAGACGTAGGTAGGCAATGGAAGACAGGACAACTCTGCAGAGAGCGATCAGCATCTCAACCTGGAGTAGCATGGAAAAGGAGAGTCGCGGGCAGTCGTCTCGAAATTCCGGCTAAGCACCGCTCGACACCTCCCACACCACGTCTCCCGAGAGCGAGCGCACTCACCACTTATAAGCACTAAACTTCATGCTGAGCCACATTTTATGACCCACGCCGCCGCGAGTGGGAGGTTCGATGCACACAGGGCAGAGGCCGACCTACAATTCGCGACACGTTAGCACTGAACAGGATGCAAAAAGTGGGCGATGAGTATAGAAAGAGCAAGGAGGATGGACGAGAGAAACCAAACAGGCTGCAGCCACTAATCGCGAGCTAATCTAAAGGTCGAGAACGCAAGCTTACCTTGGTACCACCCCTTCCGCGCACCCACCGCGGTGTATACAAGTCGAGCGCACTACGCGACGCATTGGGCATGGCACTACCGAGCACGTGAGTCATCTCCGCTCGTGGCGCAAAGCCCACGCTTTCCGCATGGCTTGCGTTCTGTGCCAGGTGCGTGAGATCCGGAGTCGTGCCCCAGTCGCATGAGATGCCTATCGGGAAAGGGACACTAAGACCATAAGCAGGAACGGCGAAACGGCGATAGAAGAGCGGAAAGCCGGCGTGGCGCGGAATGTGTGAAGGGAGAGTGCGCTGTTCGAGCTGCATTGTAGGCTCTTCTTCCGCCGTGGATCCTTGCTCGACGTCTCCGCTAATCTCATCATCTTTATCTCGTCGCGACAAGTCTGCTGAGCGCGTTTCGTTTGATCGATTGGGGCGTTGCTCGGTGTGGCACGTGATTCGGTTAGGTTTAGAGTATGTACGCGTCCTCGTTGCTGACGCTTCAAGGAATTTGTCGCAGTCATCATCGTCGTACCAGCTGTCGTCATCACAGGAAGCGTTTACACGGCTCCGTCTCTCGTGAGAACCAGGTGTAAAACTCCCCACTGAGGCAGCATCAGAGACAGCAGGCTTAGTCGCCGCGGAAAGACCCCTCACGGCTCGTGTGTGTGCACGCGTTCGTGGAGGACTACGCACCCAGTCTTCCGGCTTGAATACGTCCTGGCTTTGTACGTGCACATTACGAGGACCGAGCCTTGCGTCTTGCCGCAGACGGCGCGCGGTGCTCATTTTCCGCTCTGGCTCGCGTCGCTTAGGAGAGACATCTCGACCGCCAAGTTTGGCCCCGTGGATAGATAAGGGGCAGAATGGCGGATGGCGCAGCTGCTGGCTGTCGTTCATGCTCCCCGTGCGCTTGGCTACTGAAGCGCTGTTTGCGTTGGTCCTTGGACGGGTGATTCTGCCGGTGCCCGTAACAGCAGCAGTGCCAATACTCATGGCCGTGCCTCTGCCTGGCCAGGTGCGCGACGCTGAGTTTTCATGCACGGCATAGGACGGAATAGCGGGGCTACGACCGAGTGATGGGGAAACAGTAGCACTCGTAGGATCGGAGAGCTCTGAAAGGGGCGAAAGGGATGTATTTGATGAAGCGTAGCGGTGTGGTGGGGAGCTTGGATACAACAGCTCGAGTGAGATGGCTGGTGATGACGATGACGCAATTATCGGTCCTTCAGCGTCAACACTGGAGTGCCGGTCAGTAATGTAGTCGTGAGGCTGTCGAGTGGTCGGTAAGATGATTCAACGAAGGAACCAATGGACGCACACTGTCAGTATTATCATTATCAAGGTCAGTATGCGCGTAATGAGTCGAGAGCTTGAAGTCGGCATGAGATATGGCGGCGGTCAGTAAGCGACGGTAACCGCGGATGCGGCTGCCGCGGCCTGCTTTATTCACAGGCTTCTCTGCAGTATTATCTATGTATAGTGAGCCGAGCACTCTGAGACTCGGAGAAGATCTCACCAGTCTTTCGCCGCTTACTCGGAGGCTGGAGTAGGTGCGCTTCAGCATCCTGCTCGAGCGCGCGACGACGTTCCTGTTCCTTACGCTCGCTCTCGTGCAGGACCGGTGAGCACGAGACGGCGTCGAACGTAGGGTGGTCAGAAGTCCCAAGACAACGGGGCGAGTCCCAGAGTGCATGCGGCGAGCTGAAGGGATGGAACAGCACATCGAGCTTGGTACGGTCGAGCGGGAGGATACTACGGCTTGGCGTACACGGGCCAGGGGATGACGGAAAGGTGCTCTGGGTGCTCTGAGAATGCGCATTGGAGCCGGTGCTAGCGGAAGGATAGAGGCCAAGCCGCGAGGACAGAGACGGGGAGGTAGCGAGGTGGAGTAGGGTGTCCGCAGCGGTGAGAGTGCGGAAGGATGGGCGGGCAGTAAGATCGGGGTAGGGGCAGTCGCGGCGGGGAGTGGGCGAATCGTATGGGGCGAGGGAAGGACCCGGGAAAAAGGGCGAGTCGAGCGCGAGGCGCGAGGTGCGCTGTGGGGGAGTGGCGGGAAAGGAAAACATCGCAAGGGACAGCGAGGGCCCCGGGCGGGGTCTTATATATCGTCTGCAACGACCACTGACAGGAATGCAACGAGAAGCGCGTTGTTTGCGCGGTATTTGTCCGCCACGTGGCGTGCAGTCTAGAGTAGACGCCATGTGCTACGGGTTGAGCAGAAACCATGCGACTGTCCGTACTCGCCGCCTTTGCCTTTGCCGAGCATGTCGCCGCGACGGCCCTGACCACCGCCATCGCCGCCAACGAACGTCTCTGTTTCTACGCCGACGTAGACAAAGCTGGCGAGAAGCTCGGCGTACGTCCTCTGCCTCTGCCAGCACTCTTCACCTTCTGATGTCTCCCAGTTCTACTTTGCCGTACGTCCCCTCCCAACTTTTCTCTGCACCGTCTCACCCTCGTGCAGGTCCAGTCCGGCGGTTCCTTTGACATCGATTTCGAAGTCCGCGACCCCAACGAGAAGGTTCTCCTCGATGGCCAGCGTGAGCGTCAAGGCGACTACGTGCTCACAGCCAATACCCCCGGAGAATACGCCTTTTGCTTTGAGAATGACATGAGTACCCTCACAGAAAAGCTCGTTGATTTTGACATCATGGTCGAGAGTGAGCCCCGTCGCGAACCTCCCGCGCGCACAGCCCAGATCTCCGAGCAGACAACCGCCCTTGAAGAAAGCATCTTCCGTCTGAACGGCATGCTCTTGAACATCAAGCGTACGCAGAAATAGTGCGCCCCTCATTCGCTTGCAGTTAGCTATTACTCACGACTTTTGCTAGCTTCCATACACGCGAGAACCGCGGCTTCGACATTGTTAAATCAACTATGAAGTACGCTATCCCCTGTCCCCTTCTCAGCTTTCCTGATTCTCTCACAGCCAGCTCTTCTGGTACGCCTCCCTGGAAGTCATGGGCATTGTTGGCATGGCAGTGTATGTTCTCCTATCTCCCTCCCTGCCACAACTACATTTCCGCTAATTCCTGCACAGCCTACAAGTCTATGTCCTCCAGACATTCTTCACAAAGACCGGGCGGCGGTATAAAGTATAGGCTTTATCACTCCCTGATTCCTATACTCTCGATTGCTCTCCCCTAGATATATGCATCGATAACTATGCTCTTCCTCTCCCTGCTTTGGAAATCATTTGTTGCCATCTATCCCTTCAGCAAGGGTCTTGCGGCTGCACAGCGGAGTATGCTGTCCAGAAATATTACTTCTCACTGACATGTCGGCCCAGGCATCATGTTAATCCTTGAGGTACTAGAGATGCTTGCAATTGTGGATGTACAAGGTTCCGAATGGTCCTGAGACCTGAAGAGTGCCTGTTAAACCCAGGTCTTGTGCAGAGAGCATGCACATTAGACTCACAGCTTCAGTTTCAGGTATAGTGAGATTGACCGGCTTGGTTTTGCAGATATGTTACAAGTTACATGCTTATCTGAGTCTTGTATGCTTCGCTAGATTCCCTGTTTCCTCAGCTAGGTGATTTTTTGAAAGAGATGTGATAAAGGACACAGGTTCTTGTAATTCTCAGGTTAGTGTTGCCGCGGATTCGGATTCTATCCGGATAGAATCCGATCCGGCCTGATGGGTTGCCAATCCGTTCAATCCGGATGGGCGCGGATTCAAGCCGGATAACTCGTTGCAACCCACTCGGAGAATGCCGACTCAGACGCCATCCATCAATTCTAGTTCGACGCGGTCAGGCAAGACTGCACGAGAACGCGTCGCGTCCGTGGTTAGTGTTCCTCGTGTTTCGATTTATTGCCTGTAGCTGTGTTTGCCCCTTTCACTTCCGTCATCTCCTGAGGTTGTTGCTAGAGTAACATGATAGATCAATATATTTATTTGAAAAAATCACACAAGACCCAATTACTGCACGAGCTATTGCCCAGGGACCAGGGCAGCCGGTGCGTTTCTTTCAACTTGAAACAACAAGTGACTCAAGCCACACTTCACAGGTCAATAATCTGGCTCCTGAGTGTGAAGTACATAGCACACTCTGCGCATTTTTTCTCTCTGACACCCAGGTATAATACATCAGGTGCAGCTGTGTCAAACAAGCCCACCGGTTCTCTTTCTCAGCCTCAAATTCATGCTATGAGCCAGTCCCAACAACGAGAAGACTCCACTAGTCGCTCCCATCCATCCGTGACTTTCTATTGGCACCACCCAGCCTATCCGCATCTATACACCTACCCCTATGGCTCACCAGCCTTTCCGTTGCTTCAATCTACTGGCCCACATCTTCACAGTCAGCCTTCTCCTTCTGTTTCAGCTGCACTGATGCCTCAGAACTCTGGGCCGGCTGCCTCTGTGCCAGTCCAGTCGCCTCCGCAGCCAGTACAAGCACTGAAGCAGAAACGCGGACGCAATGAGGGCGGAGCACCGTCATCAAAGCGCTCTCAAGCCAATGCCACATTGTTGTCTGATGTGCCAGGACCTCTCGTACCAGGAGTTGGCCCCTGCATCTTGCCTCCCACTGAGCCCAGCAACACTGACTCAACACCACTGACAGCTTCGCAAAAATCCAATGTGGATTTTTGCTCGCTGCTAGCAGCCAGCAACATGTCAGAGGACTCGACACTTGCATCCGACGTCTGGTTTCACGTCCTACCAGTGCAGACGAAAGGCGCGCCGGCCAATTTCACCGATGGCGTCGGATACAATGACACTGATGGTGAGGCTCCTGCGCCAGACTCTACGCCATCAAGGCGTTGCCCAACGTCTTCTTACGTGAGGTGTCGCCTTTGTCCGTAAGTGGCCACTATTTATTTGTCTTCTTTGTGTAGTCACATTTATCTTGAGCCAGGACGAAGTAGAGAGCATGGAAGAACAGTGATGGGATCACTGGAAATGTGTGTCGCCATCTGAAGAAGGACCACGCGCAGAACTATTAGTCAGCGGTGACCAAGGAGAAGCTCAAAGGATGGGATGTATCTGCGAACGATTCCTCGCCGTCAGAAAAGGCTCGCGAACCCTTCAGCCTGACAGAATTTCGCAACAAACTTGTTCGCTTTGTGGTGGTTAATGATCAGGTAAGTTGCTCATTTCTTCTCCTCAGAAATTATGCTGACTACGCTTGCATTGAAACCACAGTCCATCAACGTTGTCGAGTGCCCGGAGTTCCGGGATCTCATCGTCTACGCAAGCGATCACCTAGAGGACATGGACATCCCGCATCGCACTATGCTCACAGACCTTGTTAAGGAGCATTGTGCAGTGGACTTTGGCGTGGTTGTCGAAGAGCTGAAGGTACGAACTTCAGTGCTTGGATTTGTTTTACTGTGCACTTTGTGCTGACAGTCCTTAAGGTCAGCGAGGGCCGCATTTCGTATACATCTGACCTTTGGAGTAATCTCAAGCTCCTCGGCTTTATGGCGATTACAGCACACTATATGGCAAAGGACAAGAATGGACACCTCATGATACGTTCTCGGCTGATCGCATTTCGAGCAGTGCCTGTGAATCACACCGGCGTAAATCTTGCCAGAATATTCTATGGTATACTCAAGGATTATGGCATTCTGCACAAAGTTTGAAGCTTCACTGTCTGCCAAAGATTAATTTATTCACACTAATGATAGATCGGTCAAATTACGCTCGACAATGCGTCTAACAACGACACCATGATGTGTGAGCTTGCGCGGCTCCTCAGACAAAATGGGATACCATTTGATCCCATTGGAAACCGGGTCCGGTGAGAAAGTTGCATCTTTGGATATTTTCTAAACTCTGACTGCTTTGTTTGTCACAGATGCTTTCCGCACATTATCAATATTGCTGTCAAGGCTGGACTCAAAATGCTGACAAAGGTGCAGAACGATTGGCACGGCAAAGATGCAAGTCGTGACGACGATAGTGACTACGACAGTGACGATGATCTCGACGATGACAGTGCTATGGACGCTGCGTCCAATGCAGCGCTTCAGGCTGATCCTGCATATCTGTCTGCCTTGCAAAAGGATCCTGTGACTTGCTGCCGTGCATTAGTACGTGTTTGCCGAGCATCTTGGCAGCGCCGCAGAGATCTTCGCCAGGCTATTGCTCTCTCAATGGCAGCAAAGCGGGCATTGATTGCTGTCGCAGCTGAGTCATTGGACTCTTCAACCTCTGGCCCCAAGCCAAAAGAGCTCCTTCGAGATGTGGACACGCGCTGGTCAGCGCTGTTTATGATGATTGATCGCGCTCTCAAGCTATATGAGGTTCATATTTCTCTCCTTTCAATCATGCGAAACCTCACCTTTGTTTCCAATTGGATATTACTTATTCAGGCAGTCGAAGCATTTTTAAATATGCAGAAGCAGAATGATATTCGCAAAAGCGCCCTCGATGAGATGGAGCTGAGAGTTCTCCATGATATCCATAGGTTTCTACATGTATTTCACTGCATCCAGCAGCTTCTCTCGTACGAGAAGACACCAACCCTCCCGCTCTCAATACCCATGTACGAGAGCTTACTAGAGGCATTGCGTGCTCTGCGTAGTAAGCTCTGTACTCTCGAGCACGCAATCAATGCGTCAATCGGCCGGCTGCACAAATATCTGAGCATCGCACGGAAAAGTAAAGCATATGCTCTCGCAATGGGTGAGCACCATATTTTTTATTAATGGAAAGTTTGTCATACTAAGCCTTTTTTTTCAGTTTTACACCCTGGCTTCAAATTTACCTGGATAGACGAGCACTGGACAGCCAAGAAAGCTGCGGATGTCCGGCGCTGGCTTCGGGAAGCGGTGCGTAGATTCTCTTGTTGCACACGCACATTAAACTTACTCCTGGGTGTATTACTTATAGATGCTCAAATATTGGCGAGGGATTTATTCTCCACAGTCCAATCTGCCCCCCAACAGCCTGTCTCCACCACCGTCTCAGAGTTTCACAGCTCGCTCACAGGCTCACGGTGTAGGCCGCATTTGCGCACTACTCTGAGAACTCTCTGATGAGTCTGTAAGCACCCCGGCTACAGCTCAAAGGAGCAGTACACAGCCCGAGGCGGCCACCATCGAACCAGATGTCGATGATAGTCACATTCTGGAGGCAGATTATGCCCGTGCTGTTGAGGAAGAGGCAACCCGGTACGAGAAGGAGGGTGTTCTCCCTGACACCAAAACAGGGCCAGACTTTGATATCTGTCGCACCTGGCAGGTACGTCACTGCAGTGCGTTATCTTCCCGTTACTCACTACGTCACAGGTCAATCAATATTGCTTTCCTCTGATCTATCGCGTTGCACTGGATATTCTGCCCATACAAGCTTCTGCTGTCCTGTGCGAGCGCGTCTTCTCATCAAGCAAAGAGACGAACACTCTCTGAAGGACTAATATGTCCCCCGAAGTGATGGAAAGGCTTCAAATTCTGAAGCATCTGTATCTGCAGCAGTGCGGTGAGAAGCTAGATTTTTCACACGGCAGGCTAGCTTCCGAGGGCGATCTGGCACCAGCAGTCTCAGTAGAACAGATAGATAAAATGGTCGCAGATGGCCATGTGGACGAGCTAGAGAGGCTAATTAATGAGACTGAGTCCTAATAATTTCCCAATACATCTGTTACACCGTCTTCACTTGAGCCTCCCTAGTCCCCGTCCACTCTGCGTTTGGTTGCCTACCGTATATAGTGTCTTTGTCAGCTTTCCCACAACCTGCCGGATTATTTAGCGGCCAACTCATCGTTATCCGCCACGTGCGGATAATGCCGGATTTTGGACCGGTCCAACCCGTGGCTCATCCGCGGCAACACTATCTCAGGTATCTTCTGAATCCGCCTGACTTGCTTATTGTCGGCCATATTTTGGAGAGTAGACTTTGCTTTCAATGAATTCAATCTCATCTGCCAGCTGTCCATGAATGGATCTGACTGGTGAGAATGGTGTAGGTAGGTCAAGATTACATTTGTCTCATGTGTGGCACTAAATGTTATAATTCTGGTTTGGCTCTTTCAAGACATGTGTCATAATGATTTGTGCCACTTCGTAGCTCTTCTGGACCTCGAAGGAAAGATCCATGTTATTGATGAGAATGACTTGTACTTTGCCAGTGTAGTCTCTATCTACCACTTCTGCTGCCACATCAACCCCTTTTAGAGCCAGTTCACTTTGTGGAGCAATGCAGATGTAAGTTCCTATAGAAGGTTTGGCCTTGATTCCATTGAGAATTTTGCTTCATGACCTTGCCAGGATTGTGAGATGGTTAAGTTCAGCCCTATAGCTTTTTCACTGCCTTGCATTAGAGCATTGCCCCCCTCTCCCTCCAATTTTTTGACTAGGACATGGTTTGCAAGTTCATCATTGATTGTGGCCACCTGAATGATCTTTCCTTTTCTGTTGGGAAGGTCTTCTACAGCTATTTTTTGAGGTGTGGAATTGAGCTGTCTTACTTGCCAGTTGATTCACAGATTATTTTCTCTAAGCTAGTCAATTCCTAGAATAACAATCTGTTTTTTTAGGTGGGTAATGAGTAATCATTCTTTTTGTTGTCTTTTGTTAATTGTGACTGTTGGTTCAATATAGTTGCGGATGTATTTTGACCAGTTAGATGTTTTATCTATATTAAATATTGGTATGGGTTATGTCAGAAATTTTTTTGTCAAGCTTGCCTTACAAACTATCACTCTGTTAATGAATTTTCCTTGAGCTTCAGAATTTATGACAGCTTAGGCTCTTATTCCAGTATTTTCATTTGATTTCAAAGTAACCAAAATCTTCATAAATTGTGCATTCATATTAGCTACTAGTACAGATGAAATTGAAAGTTAAAAAGATTCAACAGCTGGTATTGGCTCCATTGAATAAAATTCTTCTGTGTTTCAAAGTGCTTGCTATAGTATTCACAAGCAATTTTATTGAACTGTTCAATGGAAAGTACTTGAATGGTGCCTATATCTAGTGAATTTGTAATGTGAAAAAGAGTGATGATAGTGTTGAATGTAGAATAAGAAGTACTGAATATACTGTTCACTAGGGTTATGTGGGCTGTAGCATACAGTGGCTGCCAAAAATAACACACAACACTACAAAGGGGTGTTATAATTCCTCCATATCTCCACAACCATTGTACCTAGCCAGATAGTGTATATACAAATCTTATACTAGGCTACTATTAGCATCCTTCTGAGGTATCGCTTTGATGCAAGCATCAGGTGCCAAAAAAAATGTAGTGAAAATGGTTGAAAAATGAATATATATTATAAAATTTATACAATGACACAAATTCCAGAGTAAAATATGGTCAAGTCTTAGTAAAATTCTATGCTGCATGATGTTACTGTAACAAAATTACAGCATAGTAATAAAATTAGATGAATGAGCTGCAGTGACAACTATATTCATTACAAAATAAAGAGATGTATGCTTATATTCTATAGACATCACCAGTAGCTGGAATATCTATAGTGGTATACTGAATGTATTTACTAGTAAAGATTATTCTGTACAGCAAATTTTGTATCTCTATTCCTGAGTGCTGTGGAGATATAAATATACAGATTTCCTTGGTAAAACATACCAATGTAACTGTCTCTACAGCTCATTCATTCAATTTTATTACCATACTGTAATTTTGTTACAGTAACATCATACAGCATAGAATTTTACTAAGACTTGACCATATTTTACTCTGGAGTCTGTGTCACTGTATAAATTTTATTATATATATTCATTTTTCAACCATTTTCACTACATTTTTTCTGGCACCTGATGCTTGCATCAAAGTGATACCTCAGAAGGATGCTAATAGTAGCCTAGTATAAGATTTCTATATACACTATCTGGCTAGGTACAGTGGTTGTGGAGATACGGAGGAATTATAACACCCCTTTGTAGTGTTGTGCGTTATTTTTGGTGGCCACTGTACATGTTTAGCAGGTATAATTTCTTTATTTTTTATGTGGCAATATAAATATAAAGAACTTAAATACTATAGTGGCTCACATTTATATAAGATTTTAAACTTTACACTATTTTTCACTTTATACATTTGCAAAATATATTACAAATAATTCTTTATTATTTTATCATGTAAATTTTGTAAATGACATGCCTATTATATAAATAATAATAACTTATAAGCTAACATACTATTTGATTACAATATCTAACTATAGAGTTCAAAAGCCAGCTTATATTCATTTGGACTATTGGAAAGTTGTACTATAATTACTTTTTTTATGAGCTTGGTACTACAGTTGCTGCATGTTACATTGACTATTTATTTTATATTGGCATGTATCCACTCTGATAGAATTTTCTTATAGGCAGTACTATTTATGATGTTTTACTGTAGTGGAATGTATGGTAGCAATATCACATGTTACGTGGCTCTAGTAACATTTCTTATTTGCCTGAATATCACGTATTACAACTGGTCAATTGCTAGTTTCAATGCAAGTCCTATAACGCTTGTTATATAGGATATACTATAACATATAATGCTGTGCTGCTATTATATACTCATTCCAAGTTGTGTCATCATCTCTATAAGCATCAAGATTGTCACCAGTGCTTGCACTCATGAGTTGGCCATTCCAAGTCTCAATGTCAGCACTAGTAGCAAGGCCATCCTGTTGATGTGTCAGATTCCCACCGACGTCAATGTTAAATTCATGCTCCACAACAGCAGAAAGCAGAACTTCAGAGGAACAAAGTTCATCCTTCTTGTCTTCACCATCAGATGGCTCTTCATCAATACTAGAGAGATGGTCAATTTTAGCCTCAATCTCGTTACGAAGATTGGAGTGAGTAGCCAAGTACTTCTGAAGCTCACGCTTCATCTTGGAGTCTGTCAGAAGCTTGTGTGAGAGATTCCACTTATGAACTGTACACTTCTTCCATGCCTGACAAGCCAATTGAGTCATGAGTCCATTTCTGTCCTGCTAAGATCTGACTTGCTCATCTTCTGGACAATGTCAGGGCCATGCCCATCATTTAAGAAATGCCAAATCTTGACGACAGCACTAACAGTAGTGTCTCATAGAATAGGGAGACTCTGTGTAAAGCGGATGTCCTCCGGTTTGATTCCATCCTTAAGTATATCAGCATGGGACTGCACTAAGAAGTCAAGTGCATGCTGCTTCAGCTAATGCTTGATGATGCACTGCAGGCCAACATCTGCAAGTTGAAATATTCCTGTGCCTGCCCAATATAAAGAACATTTGTCAATCCCAGTTTGAATAGAATATCAAAATTCTGCACAAATACCTAGCAGGCACATAGACCAGAAATACGTTGGGATGCTGGGTACAGATATAGGTATGGAACTTCTTGCCAAAATGAACTGGGTAGCAATCAAAATAAAGGATGGACTTTTGGTCCTCTGAAAGGCCTTCCTCTTTGACAACCTTGTCTTGGCATGGAGCATACACATTCTTCATCCACTGCACAATAAAAGATGTCAACATGACCAAGAAAATCACAGAATATTTTGACTGACCTCCTTCATAGTTTTCAGGGTGCTGAAGTGGCTCCCATGTTTTTGACTTTTCGCAAACGTGAAATCAAACCCTAAATTCACAGCCTCAGCCATGCCACCTGCTTTGTTGCTTGAACAAGACCGCGCAGTTGCTCTGCCCCAGATTTGTTGAAAAGGTAAAATGTCACCATTGTATGAGGTTGCAACCACAAGTGTGTATGTTCACTTTTCATCCTTTCCCACCACTGCTACCTGCTTTGCCCTCCTTTCCTCATACGTGAAATTGTTGCCAGAAAGTAGGAGAACTTCAGTCTGGTCCATGTTGATGAGCAGCTTTGATTTGCAGTAAGTAACAAATTTACTGCTGGCAAATAGACACGTTATGTGTACTTATCCGTGGTGAAATATTGTACCAGAACATAAAATGCACAAGGCGGAAAAGTGAAGCCTTCACCAAATCAGCGTCGTTATTGAGCATTGTACTATGTGTTGTGGGAAAATTTTGAGCTCGTAGTTGGTACCTGCCATGAAATATTGTAAGAATTGAGTTGTGAGCTGGAAATTGAGCAAACCAGAATCAAGGGTGAGACCTCATCTGGCAAGAAGCGACATACCTCTAGTTTGGAATGAAAGACTGAGATAACCAGGCTCGAAATTGAAGGCATAAGTACCGTTTAGAAACAAGGTTTGTGCAAGGTCGAGAAATGTTAAAAGAGGAGTGACCTAACTTGTTACTTGAGGCATTATTGACTATACAAGGAAAGGGTTAGTAAACCTGAGTAGACCATGTAGCAGCATCCTCATAGCTATGTTATCTTTGATGCTTACGAAAAGACTGCTTTGACCTTTTCCTGAGGTGCACGAGACTCGGAGAAACGGAGATCATGATTTCATGTCCACAAAACACCCCACCATAAACCAACCCAGTGACTTGAGAGAAAGATGGGCAGTGAGGAGTAGGTCAAGATGCTTGTTGGGAGGCTGTTGGAGAGTAGGTCAAATTGCTTGTCAGGAGGCCATTGAAGAGCAGGCAACTTAAGTGGCAAAGAAGTGCCACGGTGCTGTGACCGTGTGTCTCCCAACCTTGACACTCTTGGCTTTGCAAGCATACGTATTCGTAACCTAACTACTTAAACTATCTACACTTTTGTTAAAAATTAGATTGCATGCTCTACATGAGGACATTTGTCAATACATCTTGCTGTTTGAACAGTTAACATATCGTGTGCTAATTCAACACAAAATGAGTTGTCCACATGACTCACGCGTTCTGTCATGCTGTAATGACAAGAAGTGTCTGGAGTCTTCCAGGCAGCTTCCAAGGATCAATTAGAGTCTACGCACAGCATTCGTGCATCATTTCTCAGCGTGTACATTAACCGCAATCTGAGGCTTCAAATAGTAACACAGATGCTGGTTGATATGTGAGTAGAAAGTTGGTCATCGTTGCACTGTACTTACGCACTATACCAGACTTCAGTCTGACATAGCGTCATTGTTAGTAGCTTCTCAAACTGCCTTGATGTGTGCACTTGCTGGAGCCTGATACTATTGCTAGTTAGAAATTTTTTGATAGATATCCCTTATGATGCATGCTGTACTTGATCTTGATGTGTGTTGCCGATTTCATTCAGGACATGTTCTATCTATTCAAAAACATGCGTTCCAGCCAAATGGTATGTTTGCTGTATCATTGCACCCCTAATCAGTTTCTTGACATCACCAATGTGATTTTTATCCTTCTGAAGCCTACAAATGAACAGAAGATGACTTTTCTCAAAAGCTTGCTCAAAATTCTGAGCTAGAAGACTCTCAGAACAAATCTGGCTGGTGTTCAGTACACAAACTTGACAATAGCATGGCCACAAAGATTATCAAATACAGCAGTGACATCCCTGCCTTAGATCAAGAGTTTCTTGCCATACAATCTGTCTATGAACATACCACCATGCCCACCCCCCACCTGTACCATGTCGCTCACAATTGTGGACTAGACAGGGACTGCTTTGCATACATTTGCATGGACTACATTTCCGGCCAGTGGCTTGGTCATGCATGGCCATTGTTGTCTCTTTGGGCCAAGCTGCGTATTGCTTGGATTCTACATAGCTACATTTAACAGCTTCAATATATTTGTGACCTTCATTGGGAAATACCTGGACCCCTAAGCGTTGCCTTTTGCCAGTGCATCAAACATACACTTGCAGTGCTAGAGAGCTTTGGACCATTTGACAATGTGCTCGAGCTAACTCATGCAGTGAACAAGAAGTGTGCTTCGATGCTGGGCTATGAGATACTTCAAGCTTTCATGGCCCTGGAACCACTGGTGTTTATTCACAACAACATTCACATGGGTAACTTCATCTTTAGAAATGATAATCATGTCTGGTTCATTGACTGGGAGTTTGCAGGCTTTTACCCTGAATCATTTGAGTATACAACTGCAGCTTTCCTTTCTGAGGCCTACTGGAACCAGGTAGCACCTCTCTTTTGGAGAAGATGCCTTCCTTTTATTGCTGACCCATGTTTTGGACATTATCAATAGTGCTTTGGTGTCCCTCCTTAGCTGTTTGCTGATCTTTCTGTTCTCTCCCTCACAAAGGAGCACATGGTTTACATATTACATTGCCCCATACTAATTGCTCTCACTGTGCACTCAGTATCTTACGCCAGTCTTGTCCAATGCCATAATCTGCCTAAAAGCCAGTTTGGTGGCTATCGCAACTCTCAAGAGATGTTCTCGCCACTGGCGTGCACACAACCAGATGACAGTTTCTTAACTGACAAATGGCAGAATGTCTATCTGAAATGAAGCTCCATCATAGCATTTTAGTCTGTACTCTACTACTTTGGTGTCATTCATTTGAGGCACAAACAAATGTGTCAGCTCGGAACTACTTTGGCAGCATGCATGCCAGAGGTTGAGGTGAGGTGACTCAACATCATGCATAGTGGAACAATAAAACCTCATACATGCTAGAGTGCAACAGATGAGAGCTGTTCAGGTGAGATCGATAGAGGAAAGGTGAGCCTGAGAGGATGGCTAAACTGAAATGACTTCATTGCAATATTTGCTGCACTATTGGCATGAAGCATTTATAGGTGGCGGAATAGTGAAGTCATGCAATTGGCTGCACAGGTTCAGTTGGTGATGTGCATCTATTTAGAGCAAATGGTCTGCTTAATCACTGTAATAAAAAAAAGATTCCAAAGAGCTATATCTTGTTCAGAAGCAGGAAGAAAGAAGCTAGTTAGCAAAGAAGTACTAATGGAGTTCTGCTCTTACTGTAGTACATCCCAATGTGATAGTCCACCTGGTGCCACTCTGTGCTAGTTTAGATTTGAACAGTAGTTGGAGCCATAAAACAGTGGCAGATCCCTTTGATTGCCTGAGTTTTCAGCTCCTTGTCTGATGTGAACTGACGTTGACACACTACGAGGAATACTGTGTGGATCCAACAAAAGGCGGCACCAACGATGGTCTGGCGACGATTGCATTAACTTGTTCAGCTAGCCCAAATAACCAAGTGTATTAGTAGTTGTACAAGAATACAAACAAAGGTTTACCTAGCCCAGATAACCAAGAGGTTGAAATGGGGCTAGGTAGCAATGAAGGGGCCCTTTATATACTGTTCAGGTTGCGCATGGACCAGGCATTACCTAAGTGACTGTTGCTACGGCATCTGCTAGTATTTAGAGGACTCGGCGAGAAATGGGGGCCGGTGTGTCATAGTATATGATGTTGTCGGGCTGACGGGAATCAGATGTCTATTGCCGACCAGACTTGAAGATAGAAGGTCCGGTAGAGATTGGAGCACGGCTGTTTGCCGAGGAAGCATGATGCGATGACGAGGTGGCGGTGATGCAGGCGCATTTTGATGCGCTGATGCGGTCCTGAGGTGTTAGTGCACAGCTAGAATTTTTAAACTGGTGCCATTGTGCCAACGACATTTGGAGGGTCGTACAAACATGAAATAAATTGTAGAAAATCGTAGAAAATGGAAAAATAATAGGAGGCCAGGGCTACGCCCACAACATTGTCCCTCAACAATAACTTCTCTGAACTTGAACTGAGCCTTCAGATTTTCAAACACAAACCATTTTGAGGCAGCAAGAGTTATGGTCAACATGAAAATGTAAGCAAATACAAGAGGAACGCATCAAAAAAAAAGTCTGAGACCAGAAGCACCCCATGAGCTCTGTAGTTCCAGCAGCCTGGTGGAACTGACCTCTATTACCCTGTGACCAGTAGTCTTCTACCATATCTCTGTAGCACCCGTGGCAGTCTGCATAAGTTCAGCAGCATGCCGTGGCAGCCTACATGAATTCAGCAGCACATCATGGCAATATTGCAGCTCATCTGTAGATACCAGCAGACAGTCTCCCAGGCTTTGCACACTTGCTCATTGGAAATAGATTAATGGAAAAATATATATTAAGCACAATTGTATAGTACATGCTAATGTATGCTATGCTAGATTAATTCTGCTGCGTTAGGAGATAGACACAAAAGGTAAACCTATAACACATAGCAAGTCAGAATAATAGATAAATGATCTCCAGAGGCATAACTCACGTAAGTCTTAGAACTGCTATGCGTCCAGCCCAGGTAGCAGCACAGAATATGCGGCTGGTAATTTCAAATGTGCATCTGTCAACCGCTCTTCCTGCAATACCTGTGCAACAGCAACGAGCTTGTTATGAGGCACATCATGAGTGGCTCATGATATGCTCTGCGTAGCTACAGGCACCTGCAGCTATGCCTGTGCTAGATATTTCAAAGGCACGTTCAAATACAACATGCACCTGGTGCTCGTGTGCAAGCTAGGCAAGGCTGTGGCTGAAGTGCATGAGTGTGAGAGCATGACATACCTCAATATGCACAACATGGTGGTAGAGGTATATGGTGGATACCACAGTGGGAGGTGGATTGGCAGATCTTCCATTGTCTGGTACGAGCTCAACTTGACAACATCAAGATTATATAGTCTAATAAACTCACCAATTACCACTGCCCATAATCCACAAGATGCTGCATTCTCTGCTGAGAAAAGTAAGATAGCAATGGAGAGCCATGCTGTCTTCAACAGCTGTGGACATCTCACCAGCAACGCAGTTGTCGCGCCCCTAGCTCTTGTGGCCTGCAATACTTGTCATATTGTTCACGAGCTTCTTAGTCGCACACACAGTGTTGCTTTGCTACTTTGGGGTTTGTGCACCCGCTCCATGCATAATAATGCGACTTTGCTTCCCATAAGAAGGGTATAGGTATGTATCAGAAGAATAGCACTTAGGCAAGGATGTGGAGGGCGTTGACACATTACCTGTTGACTGACATCATTGACAGAGGCTAACACAGTGCAGTGGTAACGTGGAACAAGAGGAGAGATGTTCGGGTGCTTATTATTCTTGGCCGTGCCATCATTTGCTAGTTTAGGGCAGACACTCGCGTACTTGAGCAAGTGGAGAATATACCACCTTCGGACAGCGCTTCAAGCTTCAAGTGTCACAATCAAAACTTTGTATACTATTTAGTTCCATTCACTAATATTGTAATCATATGCTTTACATGAAAATCTAGCTTACAGCATGAGAAACTAGCCAGTTTTCTGTGGTGCATATGTGCTGTCGTAAAGAAAAGTTTAGGATAAGGAAAGTAAGTAAAATAAAATGAGGCTTAGTGTAAAGAAGATTTTAGGAGAATTCTAAAAGGTTACTTCTTAATAAAAGGGAATGGAGTTTGGTCCGAAGTTCTAAGCTAAAAGCAAGAAGAGTATAGTATGAAATACTTAGATTTGGTTTTTCCAATCTTTTCTTTCCAGGGTTCACTGGGTCAGCCTTTCAACTAAGCTATCCTGATGTTTGTAGGGGACTAATTCAAAGACCACCTACTAATTTGCTTGAGTATTCTAAAGCCTCACTTGCCTGTTTACAAGGGACTTTTTAAGGAATCTTAGAAGATGGGCTGTAAGGAGGTTTGGTTAGTAGCTTAAGGACTAGCTACTTGGGTTAGTAGAATAGAGTTTTTAGATAAGTAAGATAAGAGGGTAACAAAGACAAGTTAATGTCTTGGTTAACTTAATAAGCTTTGGCTAGTAAAGACAATTTAATGTCCTTAGAGGATTTGTATAACTTGAAGCAATCTGAAGCTTCCAATTTAGAGTTGAAGATCAAGAATAGAATTAATCTCTTTACTGCTAGTCTAATTACTGTAAGCTCTACAGGAGACGTACCACAGTCTCAAATAATGACGCCACTAGCTCTCGCAGTCTAGGATTAGTCAAATAGTGAACTTGTGCACTATACCAAGAGCGTTTCCCTTCAGGTTATTTGAAAGTCAGAGGCTCTACTGTGCTTAAGGAATTTCCTAGACTTTAAAGAAAGGAGTCTATTCTCTGAGAGCTAAAGAGCTCAGGAGATTAACTGCAGGTTTGCTGCTAGCTAAATCCTTAAGAAAGTGTGTGGTGCTTGATGGGTGTTCTTTTTTTTTGCTCTCAGAGAACCTCTCCTATTTATACCTTTCAGCCTGTTATTCTTTAGCCAATAGCAAAACTGGCTCTTTTATTCTACTGTAATTATTCTACTTTTATTAATAAGCATTTGTCTGTATTAGTCAGCCTTCTGTTTGTTTTACTAATGTATTGGTAAGTTATTACTAATGTTTGTTATAGTATTACTATATTTTGATAATTCATAGCTGTTGAGCATAGACTTTTATTACTAAGCATAGTTTAAATTACTAAGAAGCTGAGTCACATTATTAGCTGTTGATTCACTTTTAGTAAGCTTGAGTGTTTATGCTTGCTTTGCAGCTCTGAGTAAGCAGTCTCTTTTTGATTTGAATATCCAGCTTATTCCTTTAGTTTTTCTATACTTATAGTTATGGTGCATGACAGCGCAAGGCTCAGGAGAGCCTGGCAGCACTCAGCAGCCACTCATATGTGCTAAGCAGTGAGTGCAGACACAGTAGTAGATGCCTCTGCTACACAGCAAGACACTGTTTCTTGATGCGTAGGGAACATGCGGAAGAAGCCTAGTGGTCACAGAACACTTGTTTTTGGACACTTGCCCAATTCAGATCATAGTTTCTGCACCTGAACTTTGTCACTCGAGACCGCAATTGCAGCAACAAGTCCTGTGATTATTGCAAAGTCTTGTATTCATCATGGTCAGACTCTCCAGAAGCCACCACTGGCCTGTACCCCACTCTACATAGACATGGTGGCTCAAATGGCTTTTGTAAACATCTCACCATGACATTCAAGTCCAGTGCACAGATAGCACATGCACGTCACAGAGTGCACCATTGGCAGCAAACACATGAGGAGTTCTGGGGTAGACACTGACATCTCCAGGTGTGGAAACGATGACAGGCTCTTGTCAACAAGCAGCTCATAGAGAACTGACCCAGTCAAATGTGAGGAAAAAAAGGTGCTTGAGGCCAGTCTGGCACTGCTGCAGATCCTGCATGAGGTTGTACACCATAAGCAACTGCAGCACCGGGTGCTGCACATGCACCTCAAACCTCTCTAACAGGCTTGTGCA